CCCCCGCCGGTGCCCGTCCCAGCCGGTTGCCGGCTGGCAGAGCCTGTTGGGTGGCTTCTGGGCTCGGCCGGCGCGGTGCCGCCTGGGAACGTCGTGCCGGCACCTCCGTCCCTCGCCCGCGCTGCCGAGAGCTCCGGACCCCCCCAAAAAAAGTGACGGTGGCAAAGCCACCAGGTTGTCACCTCCCTGCCCTTGAGTCCCAGGGGGTGACACCGGGGGTGGTGGCGGTGGGAGCCCACTGAGGTCCCTGCCAGCCCCCCTGGGTGGTGTGGGACGGCAACACAGCCGGCACCGACCCGCCATGCCACGGCCACCCTGTGGGACAGCCCTGGGGACATCCCTGTCCCCTGCCGGCGCCGACGGCGCGGTGACGTGAGCTCTGCCCCATTTTAAAGCCACGAGAGATAACGCATCCGCTCCCGGCGTGCGGCCCTCATCCGATGTCACCAGCCGGGGAAGGGGACGAGGATGGGGGACACCGCCATCGAGGTGACGCTCAGACCGCTGGCATCACCCGCTGCCCCGGGTTCAAGACTCAAAACAAGCCCGGCGGCGGGACGGTAAAAGGTTGACGCAGGCCAGGGACGTGTCCCGGCGGCCTCGTCCTCGCCGGGTGCTTGGGGACGTCATCGTGGCGAAGGCCAGCACGGTTTTGCAGCGTGACCCGGCTGGGGAGGTGACACCGAGGTCCCGCCTTGGGCCCCGGTGCCTCTCAGGGGCGGCACGGCCACCTTGTCGGTGCGGCACGGTGAGCGGGCACACCCCGACAGCGTGGCACGCTCACCTCGCAAGGGTGCATACCCCGACAGCGTGGCACGTGTCCCCGAGGGAGCGCGCCCACGCTGATGGCATGGGACGTGTCCCCGTGCGAGTGCGCACACCCCGATGGCGATGCATCCATCCCCGTGCAAGCCTGCACACCCGACAGCGTGGCACGTGTCCCCGTACGACCGTGCGCACCTCGATGGCGTGGCGCGTGTCCCTGTACGAGCACGTGCACCCGACGGCGTGGCATGCGTCCCCCATACGAACACGTACATCCGAGTGCCCCGTGAGACCGTGCACAGCCGACGGCATGGCACACGTCCCTGTACGACCACGCACGCCTCCGTGACGCAGCACGTGTCCCTGTGCAAAGGGGTGGCACCTGTCCACGTATGACCATGCACACCCGATGGCACGGCACGTGTCCACCGTATGACCATGCACACCCCCGGCAGAATGGCGCGTGTCCCTGTACAACTGTGTACAACCCAACAGCGCGGCACATGTGCCCCTACAACCATGGACACCACTACGGCACAGCACACGTCCCCATGCAGCCATGGACACCACGGCATGGCATGTGTCCCCATAAAACCACAAACACCTCCACGGCATGGCATGTGTCCCCATAAAACCACAAACCCCCCCATGGCCCGCGTCCCCATACAGCCACGAACTCCATGACATGGCACACGTCCCCATACAGCCACGAACTCCATGACATGGCACACGTCCCCATACAACCATGGACACCTCCATGGCATGACATGAGCCCCCATACAACCATGGACACCATGACATGGCACGTGTCCCCATGTAACCATGGACACCTCCAGGGCATGACATGCATCCCCATACAGCCATGGAC